AGAAAGCACCAGCGAGTGGCCCAGCGAAAAGAGATAAGATAAGCGATGCGCTGCCAACGTCTCGATTACCATCGTCTTGTTGTTGTTGGGCATCCACAAGTGAAGATAAGAAATAAACAACTCGCCTTGAAAAAAGTTGTTGTTGTTGAAGAAAAACGATCAGCAAACGAAGCCAATTATTGGAGGAATTGAAGACAGCGTCAGCCGTTACCATGAACGCCCACGCCGATTGTTGTTGGTAGCGCAGCAGAGAGCAATCGGGGTGACGAACTGCAGCTTGAGACGATGTAGAAGAAAACGATGTAACGGCGCCAGCGGCGCCGCTTACTGGGGGTTTTTTGAAGATTGCGAATGCGGTAATGGTAGAATCGCCGGGAGGTCAATAACCTTAGCCGGCTCTCTATGAACAAACCGGCTGACTTTTACCGATACAGGCCAAAAATCGTCATTGAAGACTGTTGGGAAATTTTGCTCCGGAACTCCCAATTTAAAATTGACGAACTTGAGGGCGTTGATGTCAGCATCCTTTTTGATCAGCCTAGCACAGACTAAATCATTGGGCTCCACGTTCAGCTTATCTGCGACAAATTTGCACAGTGCATCCGGTTGAGTAGAAGTCGCGAATTTACCCACATGAAGGTATTTCAAGGTGGGAAGCACTTGAAGTTGAGCGCAACTGGGTGCTTGTCCCACAATGCGCCTATTAGGGTTGATCCGCTTCTTCTTCGGGACAGCCCCCTTAGAAGCCGCTGTGGCCTGCCCCAGAGTAGCCATTATGCTCCCAGTGCTGGTGGGCATTGCAGGGGGAGCAACAACATGCACCCCAGCCGAAGAGGCGCGTCCAGCGGGCACAGCCGCTCCATTTACCAGGGCTAGGTCAACTTTGGCATTAAGGCTTTCGAAGCGGGACTCCAGGTCTACAACTTTATGATTTAGCTCATCAATTTTGGAATGCGAATCATTTCCAATGACGCAGCTATCACATTGCCACATTAAGTTCGGAATGTTAATAAGTAATTTTATAGCCTCCGAGGGCAAATCAACTTAAGCGGTGTGATAGGCACGCCGGCAGATCGACGCGCACCGAACGGCCTCACACCCACGAAGTTGGGTAGCAGTAACTTCTGCACTGCACTCGGTGCAAACGAGAGGCGACATGAGCGAAAAAGTAGACGTCCGAACTCAAAGAAAGCTAGATGAAGACTTTGATATTAATCTTACTATCAACCCAGATGATATCTCGGGATCACAGCATGCGTATAGGAAGGGCCGATCCACGGAAACGGCACTCCACGAAATCACTACTTTTGTCGAAAAGGCACTTAGTGATAAGGAATACGCACTCATTGCTTTTCTAGACATAGAAGGTGCGTTCAACATTATCCTACCAAGCTCGATAATCAATGCGCTGACAGGACTAGGAATAGACGATCAATCCATACGCCTTATAGAGCAGATCCTGGTAAACAGGACTGTTGAGGCGTCACTAGGAGGAGAATCTATTCATAGATACGTCAGTAGAGGCACCCCGCAAGGAGGCGTACTCTCACCCCTACTCTGGAACGTGGCGGTTAATAGCCTACTGCGATCCCTAGAAGGGGGTGGTTGCAAAGTTATCGCTTACGCGGATGATGTCGCAATTGCCTTCTCTGGAAAATTTCCCCAGACTCTATGTGACCGCATGACGGACAAACTTAGGGTCCTCTCAACGTGGGCAGTTAGAAATGGACTAGGTGTGAACCCATCCAAAACAGAGCTCGTCCTCTTCACCAGGAAGTACAAAATACCAAACTTAAGGCTTCCAAAACTATTAGGAGAAACACTATCTCTTAGCGATAGCGCCAAGTAACTAGGGATTACGCTAGACAGGAAACTGGACTGGAAGTCAAACACTATGGATAGAGCTAACAACGCTACAATCGCGCTCTATACTTGCAGGAAAGCCATTGGCCTTAAATGGGGAATGTCCCCAAAAATAGTAAGATGGCTTTATACAGCGGTCATAAGACCCATCCTTTTCTACGGAGTGGTGGTCTGGTGGCCTGCTCTCACCAACTCCACAATCAGGGAGAAGCTTAGGAAAACGCAAAGGATGGCGGAGGTCTGTATCACAGGCAGCCTACGTACCACACCGACGGATGCACTAGATGCACTAGACCTATTACCAGTAGAGATAATGGGGGTCAAGATAGCCACGCTATCGGCAATTAGGCTACGAGAGACGGGCACATGGAAATGGACTGACTACGGACATACCAAGTTAGATCTAAACCACTGCACGCCAAGGGGGTCTGCGTACCTGTCGATAATCCCACCTTAAAATACAAGGTCTACATTCCAACAAGGGAGGAATGGGCCACACAAATCCCGGGACCAGCCGGTTCCCTCCATATCTACACAGACGGTTCAAAATTGAATGGCCAGGTGGGAGGCGGTTTCCATTGCGAACAGCTGTGTTTAAATGAGGCCCTCAGACTCCCCGACCACTGTAGTGTTTTCCAAGCAGAAGTAATAGCTATCGGAGAAGCACTCAGATCCCCAGCACTGATTGGAAATCAGGACACAATCTGTATCTTCTCAGACAGTCAAGCGGCACTCAAAGCCCTTGACGGTCTTTCATCCAACTCCAGGACAGTGAATGACTGTCGCAGATCTCTTAACGAGATGGCAGAGCAGCATGACATACACCTCATATGGGTGCCCGGGCATAGGGACCACGAGGGTAATTGCGCCGCCGACGAACTAGCAAGAGCAGGTACTACCAATCCTCTCCTACCGGAGAAGGAACCAGTAGGTATCCCCTTAGCTACGTGTAGGCTAAAATGCAGGGATCACTTTGACCGCGCATCACTGAGGAAATGGAGAAATCTCCAAAACGGCAGGAACTCCCGCATGATATGGCCCATCGGATCTAGGAAGAGGTCAATGATGCTTACCGCCCTAAATAGGCAGGACTATAGTCTGGCGATCAAGGCCATTACGGGACATTGGTTAATAGGAGCACACGCGGCTAGACTAGCGGTGCCACATTATGACTACTGCAGGAGCTGTGGAGACGAAGAAGAGGAAGAGACAGTTGCACACCTCCTGTGTCAATGCCCTGCGCTGGGGCGCATCCGACTCAAATTCTTGGGCGCAGCAATACTTACAGACCTTACAGACCTCGCGGAGGTCGCTCCACACAGACTCGTAGCTTTCATCCGTAAATCTGGATGGGACCGCGAGCCGTTTCATGAAGGATAGAGCACCCTTGGGCACATAAGTAGTGGGAAGGGAGAGGTCCTTTTGTAGGATCCTTGCCTGTGCGGTATCACAAGGAGCCCTAGCGGCTCAAGTGGATGGGGGTCAGAACCGGCCCCTCATCGCCGCCTCAACCTTACCTTACCTTACCTATCAATTTACTATCCAGACAATCCACACCAATAACTAACATTCTTTTAAGCATCCAGACCAGTGTTTGAAAAGCTACGCTACTCCCGTAGTTTTTCGTATTGCTATTGCTACCGCTGTCACTTTTTTCGAGATCGGGAGCGGAGCCGTAGCAGAAAAATGAAAGTTGTCTGCTTTGCTCTGCTCCAAGCTACGAAAACCAATAGCAGAGCAATATTTCTATGCATCTCGCTGGTGCGGAGTAGTAAATGCAAACCATGATTCGAACCTATTTCAAAATTTTATACTTGTAGTTGTCCAAATGTCACCTTCCTTGTTAAGGTAGCCTAGGGTTGTGGCTGAATGGGATAAGATTTTCCTAAGCCATGCAGATTGAGCTGTGTTTTTTATGTTCTAGAGCTCTATCGATTACCAGGGAGGCTGGTATTGTATTTCTTTTTTTTTATTTTGTTTTCGGGAATTCTCCTTTGGGGGCTCCAGAGTGTTTCGAGATTTTTACGTTTGGGGGATAGTCTGGTGGCTGTGGTGTGATATTGTTTGCAGGGATTTTGGAATTTTTGACCTAGTTGGTTTTCTTGGGGCTTTGAAAATTTCTGGCTTTGGATTTTGAAAGGGTAGATATGATTCTTAAAGAGCGCTCAAGCATAATGAAAAAACTTATCATAGCTTTTCTCGACATATAACACTTTCAGCAACATTTAACTATGCGCACTAAGCAATGTTCTGACGAAACTATGTGGGAAAGGACCATCAAATCGTGAACTTTCTGGTTAATAGGACTGTCAAGGCTACACAAAAAGATTCGTCAGAAGGGGCACCCAACAAGAAGGTGTACCCTCTCGCTTCTTTTCACCGTAGCGGTGAACCCTATAAGGTAGAAATTATCTCGGTCGGCACGGCCCTATTCCGCGGGCATAGGAAATTTCCCTGCCCGAGCTCTGCTACACACACAGAATAAATGTGAGAAACGTCATGCTTACAGCCTACTTTCTGCTATTCGTTACTAATACTAATGCATAAAAATAATAGCTTGCAAATAAGTGTTAACCTATTACTAGGGTCTCAAAATAAGTGTTGTTTAATGAGTCTTTGATCAAAAAGTTTGAGAGCAACCGTTTGCTTTGTTCGTATGAAAATTTTGCTCTCGCTCAAATGACGAGCAATATTTTCTGTTCCCAATTGCTCTGTTCTTTCCAGGACCGTTTGACTTTGTGAGATAATTCAAAAAGTCAACCGAAAACAAAATCAAAAGAAAGTAAGTCTCCAGCTCTGAGAGAGAGAGAGTGAATGTCAAGTTATGGTTAAAATCATATTAATGTATTGGGTGCCGACCACTGCCTTAGACATAACCCTAACGTCCTTGCCCGATAAAGATAATTTTCTTTCTTTAATTTTCAACTTCTGAAAAGGTGGGTGCTGTGCTACTACGTAGAAATTACATTATTAATTATAATTGATTTAATTAAATGAAACATTTCATTTAAAAGAAGATTATTTATAACTTTTTGTTTTTATTTAAATATATTTTGTATACACCAAATTTTTAAAACTAAAAGTTGAATTTCATTACCGAACTTTTTGATAAATACATATAATTTTTTGAAAAACTGTTTTATTATTGTGAGATATGTTAATTCTATTTTATATAATCTTTTTATAGCAGCTTACAAGCTTTTAAGCATTAATAATAATTAATTATCTAATCTAGTCTATACCCATGGAGAATAAAAACATGAAGCAAAAAACTGTTGCTTTCCAGAACCTCCGTGTGGTGAACTTGCGATGCCCGATGTGGGTACATTGCTTGTAGATGTTGCATAGTTGTAGCCCATATGAGTGTAGGAAGGGACAGGCGGCGAAATCGTTTCAGTAGCATATATGGCACTGCTGCCACCTCCCAGATGTAATGAATTTGAGGTGCAGGTCGAGTGACGTGATTCCAAAGATTGATGAGAAGTGCAGGCTGCTCCAGCAGAGATTGAAGGGGAAAAATTGGAACCAGAAGAACTACTCGACGGTACTGGTGGGGGTGGCAAGCCGTAAGCGGAGAGGACTTCATATCCTATGGCACTATTGTTGGCGCCTAGACTAGTCGGATGTGACGAACCATTACCGCTTGCAAGGCTGTTTTCATCATTAGTTATATGGTGTGCCGCAATTGGCGGGGGACGCAATGTCATATGACAAGGGTAAAGAGTAGGTGGAGTCATATTTCCTTGCTGTGACATTGGTGATGGTGAAGCCAAGGGTCCAATCGACGAATGATTAAAGCTTGACACTGGAGTGACCGATCTAAGAAAAAAAATAGTATGTTAAAATGTTACTGTTTCACAAAATTTTAAAAAATATGACAAACAAAAATTTTCAGGGCTAGCCGAAGTTGAAAAATCCTAGCAGTTAGTATTACATAAATATCAATAATATAAGATAAAGTTATTAAACAGTACAAGTATATACAAGTATTACAAGTACAAGTATTTATTATCAGTTAAAAATCAATTTCTTTCAACACAAATTTCGACAAGAGTCCGAAGATTTGGTCTTCAAAAACAATAGACTTGGTTTAGTTACATGAAAGCTTTAGAAGCTATAGTTGACGAATTCTTATGAAACTTAGTAGACCGAATCTGTTCTCCAATAACACAGTGTAACAGGGATTTGGAACTTTTAAAGAGACACAGTAGGAATTGTTCATCAGGTCGAATATATCCACCAAACCTTTAAGCTTAAAAATTCCTGAACTCGTAATTTTAAACCGATATTAAAGTTCCGATTTTTTTCAATAGTTTTATGTTGTGCTAAAAAACAAAAATACTATATAAAATAAAAATAAAAGTTTGCCTTTAATTTTTTTAAACAAAAAGGATAAAATTTGTACACAAGAAACTAATAATTTTGCATTTTTGTCGTATTTCGCGAATTTTGACGCCATTTTTCTGTAAAACTTACAGGAAAATGTATCATTTTTGACACACTTCAATATTGTTAATCCTGAATTAAACGAGACCAATTACATTAAGAAATTATGAAAATTGTTGAAGTAGTTAGGAGATTACTGAACATTGTACCTTATACATAAAATCAAAGTCTATAATTCGAAGTCGAATATAAATTAGCCACAGAGTTCAGCTTTGGCTTTAATTTGTCTTTAAAACTTTTTCTCTTTTAAAACTCTTCCCTGTACTGGCGCCTACATGCCATTTGCGGTGTTGAAAAGAGGCTGAAATAATGAAACACTTAGGGGTCACTTGGAGTTGGTGGTCACTAAACTCGGAGTTTAAGAAACTTTCTAAGTCAATCAAGCCACCACAAATGGAACCGCATAACAAAATGTATTATTAGCAATGAATTATTCTGGCTCTGTCTTGGTAGTTATTTTTAGTGAGTTACAAGAAAAGCATGCCTCTTCGCTCTGAGCAGAACATTCTTATATCAATAACACAAAAAAAAAAAAAAATGTTACGTCCTAATCGTTTTTTTTTTTTACATTGAAATGGTCAACAGTTTTTTGCAAGCTCTGGTAACAAGTGTTTTTGATTATACTATATGAAACGTTTTTTATTTCAATCTTACCCGTAACTTTCCGACATTGACAGAGTCGTATGATGCATACTTGAGTACATGGCACTGTTAAATCCTACCGGAGTTCCACTATTAAAACTAAGGCGTGGCGAGATCGCAGAAAGACGGGTGTGCGCATGAGATTGAGGATGAGATGAAACAGTGATCTGATGCTGATGTGTATTTTGCTGAATAGAACTACCATTAGGGCAAGGAGAACAGACATTGCGGCTGTCGTCAGTAGTCCGACTATCATTCATCTTAGACTTACTAACAACTGATAGTTGTAGTGTGGATGTAGGACTATCGTTGTCCTCCATAGCAGCAGTGATTTCACCTTCAACTGTAGTATCAGTAACAGGGACCGAAAGCGGGCTCAACGAAGCTATCTCATTAATTTTACCTATAAGTACAAACATTTTTATAGTTATGTTGATATATTATAAAAGTATATATAATATATAATATATAATATATAATATATAATATATAATATATAATATATAATATATAATATATAATATATAATATATAATATATAATATATAATATATAATATATAATATATAATATATAATATATAATATATAATATATAATATATAATATAATAATATAATATATCTTAATATTATAAAAGTATATAATATAAGTCATATAAGCGCAATAAGAGTTAATCTTAAAATAATTTGTTTAATATCTGACTTTAAATTTTATAGGTTTTAAATATTCTCGTTTACAACACAGCCTTTTGATTCTATATGGGTTATCATACCATTCTTAAAGGTTTTATATTTTTTTATCAAGAGTGGGCTGGTAGTGAAGAAGACCCCTTTAATGTTCATACAATTATTCTTGATCAAAATTATCTCCTGAGTCGATAGCATTTCCTTTAATCCATCTTGAAATTCGATTCTCATGAAATTTTTTTACGTATTAAGTCCGCCAACATCTGTTTATCATCCTCTTAAATCCTGTTCGACATACCAAAAATCGCATATAAAGTGAGTTACTACCTTATCACACTGACAAACTCACGCTTTCTTGGCATTTTAACTCAATTTAAACTGGGGCAAAAATCCTTCAACATTAAGTAAATACATTAATTCTGTTTATGAGTGTTTTGTACAGTAAGTAATGTCAAGAAAACGTGGAACAAGTAGATCTCGAAACATGCGAAATAGAGGATCCGAAAGAACCGAAGAACAAAACCAGCAACAGGGAACGTGGATGTTTACGGATTTTGTGTTGCGAGCATTGATGCTTTTGGAGCGTGTATATACATCGTTTTAAAGAAGCAGAGCCGATTATTGTGGTCAAAGTTTCGTATAGGGGCGACACCACTTTGACCATCCCGAAGCTGAAGTTTTCTTCTGCTGAGCTGTTGGCCAGACTAATGACTGAGGTGGGTAACTTAGGAGATTAAATTAGATTATTATTGGTGGTGTGATTATTCTCTTGCACTCTATTGGATACAGGATAAGCCGGCTCGCTTCGACATCTTCGTCGCCAATCGCATTACTGTCATTTAAAAGCTCACTTAAATATAGAGTGGCGATATGTTCAACGGCCGCTTATCCAGATGATATATTGTCCAGAGGAGCTCTTCCCACTGAGCTTTCTGAATCCGCTCTATGGTTTGAAAACTGAATGGCCTCTTGCCATTGTGATTAAGAAGCCCGCGGTTGAGCTGCATGTAAGGGTTTTATCGCGAATTTTGGAGCATATCGTAGCGGATCTTCCGAGGAAACGTGTTGATGACCGGCGTTGACTTGTGTAGGCCAATTAAGCCGGAAGTCCGGAATAAGAATCCCATAAAATGCTACAATAGCGAGTTTATATGCTTTACTACTCAAGCTGTGCATCTGGAGCTGGTCAAGAGTTCAACTACGAGCCCTTTTGCACCAGGCAACGGCTCAGGCAGCAGCGAGCATCAATCATCCCTTCAGGATTTCTGTCTGGTTGAGACAATTGACCGGTGTTTTGTTCCTTCACGTTCTACCCATTTTGGAGAACTTTGGGAGGCGGCCATGAAAACAGCAACCATAACCTAAACCGTGCAGTTGGAAACCCTCCGTCACAACGGAGGACGGGAAAATAGAAATCACAACGGGAAAATAGAAATCAACAGCTACACTGACCATCAGCCTCTCACTGCGAACTGCCGTTTCAAGACAACTCGGTAAGGCTATTTCGTAACCATCTTAGGTGACAAATATAGTTATGAGGGAGAAGCAAATGAAAGTAATGGTCATTGATCATAAATCACATAAATAAATCACATAAATCAATCGCAGCCCAGGAATTTTATTCAACTATAATTTTCCGAAAATAGGAAATATACCAGCCGAAGATAGAGTAAAATGACTAGTTTGCGAGAAGGAAAATAGCCTACTCGTGTTCGTGAAATGATATACGTCGACATTTTCTCAAAAACCGGGGAATATTTTGTTACCATATTATGTCTATTGATAAGTTTTCTAAGTTCTCATTTAAGGGAATGATACTTAACAATAGTCAACCAACTATTACGAAGGCAGTCCGATAAGTACTTAGCCTCCCCCGCCGATAGCGTCTCTAACACAAGAGAAATTTACTATCTAGCTGTACATTCTCGTAGACCGTTACTGTCGAAATTTCAGCCGAATCGGACTCGAGGTAGAAGTTGGAGCATAAGTGAACTATAAAAAAATTACACAACTTTGGTGTTTTTAAAGATAGAAGTTTGATACTTGGTACAAATTATATTTCTGAAAAAATTGGTGGTGTACTTTTGTATACATATCTAGCTTCCACATATTGTTTGGTATTCTTGATAGAAACGAAAGCAATCATAAAATATTACTATTTTTCACGTATATTTATTGGTATATTGGTATATATTGGTATTACACGCACGTTTTTTAGGCTGCGACAGCTGACTTTAAGAATTGACACTACTAACTGTGTGCTGTTTTTTAATATTTCTGGAAATGAGTTTCACGGAACCATATGCTTTTAAGATTTGTACATAAAAAAAATCCAATTTCAATAGTTAATTCAAATGTAAAACAAATGATGCCTCTGAAGTGAGTATATTTGTATATCATTAAACAAATTTTGGTTGTGCATTTGCTCGTGAAATAAAAACGTTCTGCTAGGCGATTTTGACAAAAAAAAAAATATATATATATTTTTCTACAAAATATATATATATACCATATTTTTCTACAAAATATATATTATATGTTGAAAATATTTGCATATGCACCACAGTATATCTTATTCCTCTTGTGTTATACACTAAAGTAACGAGTAACGAATTCTATTTCTTCATTAAGTTCTGGGTCTGTCTGGGTCTCTAATAAATCGTCAAACCGAATAGGTTATGGGCCCAGGCCAGCCAAAAAAAATACTGCGTAATAGTCGAAAAGATTATACGATAAAAAAACAAGAAAGGAAAGCTAACTTCGGGCGGAGCCGAAGTGTATATACCCTTGCAGTTAAAACCGGATACATATCGCAAACATCGGATATAGTTGGCCGCTCCTTATGGGAATATGAATATATAATCCAATTTATTACAATACAAAATCTAAAAAAAGTCCCAAACTTCTATCTTCAAACATACCAAAGTTGGTATTTCTACCAAAAACCATTTCTGATCGTTCAGTTATATGACAGCTATAAGATATAGTCGGCCGATCGTTATGAAATTCAGTAGGTCGGATAAACTGACCAAAAATATAATCTGTACCAAGTTCCAGCTTTCTATCTTCAAAAACACGAAAGTTGGGTCATTTCCGATTGTTCCGTTATATCGCAGCTATAGGATATAGTCGGCCGATCCTTACGAAATTTGGCATGTCGTATTATTTTGCGTTCATGTAAAATTTGAACTCTCTAACTCTAAAAACACCGAAGTTATACCATTTCCGATCAATCAGTTATATGGCAGCTATAGGATATAATCGGCCGATCCGGGCCGTTCCGACTTATATATTGCGTGCAAAGGAAAGAAGGGTGTGTGCAAAGTTTCAAGTCGATAGCTTTAAAACTGAGAGACTAGTTCGCGTAGAAACAGACAGACGGAGAGACAGACGGACAGACAGACGGACATGCTCATATCAACTCAGGAGGTGATCCTGATCAAGAATATATATATAGGGTCGGAGATGTCTCCTTCACTGCGTTGCACACTTTTGACCAAAATTATAATACCCTCTGCAAGGGTATAAAAAAGATAAAAAAGATGAGTTCGCAATACTTAATAGAAAAACTTGATAGTGACAATTATAGTTCGTGGGCAGTGCGGATGAAAAGTCTGCTGGTCGTGAAATTTAAAACTAAAGTGGAACGGTTGCAGAGCAGGCAAATTTTGATAACAAGGACGAAAAGGCTTTCGCGAGTATTTTGTTGTGTATAAAGCCGTCCCAGATTAATTATGTGAAGCTTTGCAAGTCATCAATGGAAGCTTGGAAAATCTGGCTAGTGTTCACATGCCTAGTGGACCAGCGCTTAACATACAGTTTTTTTAACAGTTGTTGTCATATGAAGATGTTAGAGTCAGACAGTATCGCATTGCATTTGGGTAATTTCAGTGACGTCATCGAGAAATTACAAGATCAATCAGTCCCAGATGAAATGATTGTAATAATTTTGTTGTCCAGTCTATGTAATTCGTACAAAAATTTCGTAGTTGCTATGGAGACGCGTGATTTTTTCCTTCCTTGAGTTTTATAAAAATTAAGTTGCTGGAAGAGGGAGAACGACAAAAAGTGGGAGAAAAAATAGCAAATAGAGCGGAACAGAAATTGTACTCGTTGCGTGCCGAAAAGGAAAAGCCCAAGCATAAGAAAGACATGAAAAATGTGGAGTGTTGGAACTGCGGTCGTTACGGACATGTTTCGGAAAAGTGCTACTCAAATCAGTAAATACCAAGACCAGACAAGGATACAGAAATAGTGAGAGCAAACGCGAAGATAACAAGAAGTCGTTCTTGGTTTCGCTGCCGCAGCGAGTCAAAGTGGACTTACGAAAAATATTTGGTGCGTTGACAGTAGGGCCCATTTATGTGCAAACGAATCGTTATTTGTTTCAATTCGTGTGCATAGGGAAAAAATAATGCTGGTTGGAGAAAATCACATTGAGGCTGAAGGCATTGCAACAGTAAATCTGTTTTGGCAAGAAAACATTATTGAATTGGTTGATGTGTTGTTCGTTCAAAACCTTCAGTGTAATTTTATTTCAGTGTCGATAGCAACTAATAACGGATTCCAAATAAGTTTTTCGAAAAGTAAAGCTTGACACTCGAATAAGAATGGCGAAATGGTATTAAAAGCGGACAAACAAATAAAAAGGCTTTTGCTGCAAACGGGAAAACAAATTAAGTGATAACGTGGCACAATAGATTCAGACATTTGAATTTCGAAAGTTTAAAATCCATGATTCAAAAAGAATTGGTATATGGTCTACGCGGAGTAACCGGTAGCACGAATGACTTTGTTTGCGAGACGTGTGCGAAAAGCAAGATATGCGGGAAACAATTCCCAAAAGTGGCGAAAAATCGTTCGAGAAAAGTGTTGGGATTGATACATAGGAGTACAGTTTCCAAAGGTGGAGCGCGTTATTTTGCTACATTTATAGACGACAAGACGCGTTATGTATCTGTGTATATGCTTAAAACAAAAAACCAAGTTTTTTAGAAATTCAAAGAATTTATGTTGTTGGCTGAGAAGCAAACTGGGCAGCAGGTTAAAGCTATACGGAGCGATAATGATAGAGAGTACATTAATGGCGCATTCGAAAACTTCCTGGTAAGCAATGGGATTAAGAGGCAGCTCACCGTTCCCCACACTCCACAGCAAAACGGCGTTACTGAGCGTGCCAATCGGAGTCGCTGGAAATGGCAAGGAGCATGATGGTTCATGCTAATGTGAACGAGTACCTGTGGGGGGAAGCGATAATGACTGCGATGTATTTGAGGAACCGATCAGAAACGTCTACATTGCCAGACATGACTCCATACGAAGCATGGTTTGGGGAAAAGCCCAGCGTATCCCATCTTAAGGTGTTTCGTACAAAGGCAATTGTGCTAGACAAGACAATGAAAAGAAAATTTTCTCAGAAAGAAATAGAGCATATCCTGGTTGGGTATTCAGAAACTGCCAAAGCGTATAGACCCTTCAATCCTGATACGCAAACTATCAAGGAAGCCAGAGATGTGGTGTTCTTTGAGCACGATATAACAAAAAGCGAGGATATATCGACCGTAGAATTTGTAGAAAACGGAAGCGTTTTTGGTAAGGAGAAAAATGGCGATCACGATGGAAATGACGGAGATCATGCAAGGGACGAACAGTCGGGAGCCGAAGATGGTGACGACGAGTTGGTTGATAGCGTCGACAGAGTTCAGCGAGGCCCAGGTAGGCCAAAGATAATTCGTACTGGAAAGCCAGGACGACCACATAAGGAGTACCATATGCTTAACGCTATTGAAGTTTCTGACGTCCAAGTACCGAGTGAAGTCAAGAAAGCTTTGAGCTTGAAACAGGCTGAAGAATAGAAGGTTGCGATGCAGAAGGAGTATTCTCAACTACAGTCCACCAAGACATGGAGTCTTGTAAATAATCCTCCTGGCGAGAGACATATTGGATGCAAATGGGTGTTTGTGGAACGGAGTACGTGGAGTACGGCATCGTGGAACGGTTCAAGGCTCGCTTAGTCGCAAAAGGTTGTGGACAGGAGTACGGCATAAACTACACAGAAACAATTTGCCCAGTGGCTCAATATTCTTCCATCCGATTGGTGATGGCACTGGCTGTAGAGAACAAAATGTTTATGCATCAAATGGACGTCTCAGCTGCGTATCTCAATAGCGACCTACAAGATGTAGTCTACATGCGGCAACCGGAAAGGTTCGTGGATACAGCGTATCCAAAAAGGGTGTTGAGGTTGCACAAGTCTTTACACGGTCTGAAGCAGATTGGGCGTGAATGGAACCAGAAGGGTATATCGGCCGAAGTCGGTTCCGGCCGAAGTTAGCATTATTTTCCTGTTTTTCTCTGCAGCCGGGAGCGGCCGACTATATCCTATAGCTACCATATAACTTATTGATCGGAAATGGTATATCTTTGGTGTTTTAAGAGTTAGTGAGTTCAAAGAATCGGTTAGGATATAGTTCCTAAAGCTGCCATATAACTGAACGATCGGATATGGTTTTTGGTAGAAATACCAACTTTGGTATTTTTGAAGATAGTAGTTTGGGACTTTTTTTTAGATTTTGTATTATAATAAATTGGGTTATATTATCATATTCTCATAAGGATCGGTCAACTTTATCCGATGTTTGCGATATATATCCGGTTTTAACTGCAAGGGTATATCAACATGTCTCCGCTCGAAGTTAGCTTTCCTTTCTTGTTTTTGCTACAATATTGGTTTTTTTAAAGTAAACTAACCTATTTTAAATCGGAACCGGTCCTAGGAACCGTAATCTTACTTTGTAAGATTTCGATAAGAATATCGATAAACAAGATAAAAATTAGTTCATTTTTGTAAATTTTTGAATAATATAATTTTTCAAAGTAAATATGGATTTAAAGTTTAAGTAATTTATTTAAATAAAATGCCCTGTCGAACATGTATGTATATGGAACATGTATGTACATACATGGCAGTATGTATATACGCATTTTAAAAAGACAGCCCGATCACTGCTGAGCGACTAAGACTAAGACAAATAAACTCTAGTTGCGTTTTGCTTGTGAACTGCAATTATCGTTTTAAACGAATATGATTTCCCGTACACAATGTTAGTATTGTTTTGATACAATTTATAGACACATTAATTTTAAATTTATCCCATGATACACCAAATGCTCAACGACAACTTTTTACATAAAAAACAAGAAAAGAACGTCTGTAGTCGAGTTTCCCGAATATATAATACTCGGTACGCATCACTTCCACCCAAAATTAATTTGGTACGTTAAAGGTATGGATTCTCAGGCACAAATTTTCTTGCATACTTTTGAGCTTGGGCAAAACAACAACTTCAGTTGCAATTAAGTAGGGAAGTCGACTAAAAAGTCTATGACTCTTCTAGAAATTATCCGATTTGGTGCTTTTTGATAGGTAGATTAGAGGCCATTGAAACAGTTTGAAATCAAAACATTTTCCAAAAACATAAACGAACTGGAGCTAAAACCAGATTTGTTTTGGGGGCGGGAGTGCTCGTGGAAAAATTTTGACACAAACTTCATCTGCGCGGATATCATACGATCCCTAGTTCAAAATCTGGTAGTTCTATCTTATATAGTCTTCGAAATCCACGCGTTCAAAATTTTAATCTGTTTTTTTTATGTATATGGGTATGTATATTATATATTATATATGGGTATGTCAGAAATTCGCGATTTGTGGAGGCGTGAAGGGGAGTGGCAAATTTTTTAAACAAACTTGAACTGCGTGGGTATATTAGGAGTCTGCATGCCAAATCCTATAGCTCTATCTCTTAAAGTCTCTAAGATCCACGCATTCATACGAACATTCTATACCCTACGAGTACCGGGTATAATTTCAGGATAACAAACATGAAAAATGTGACAAAAAAATATCTGGCTGTTGTCTTCTCTATTAGCCAGCTCTGCTTTAAAACAAAATAATTCTTTGTATTTCCTAAATACAATTTGAATAAAGTGTCGGATCGGGATGGTTGAAATGTGAATCGCTGCCTATAATGGTAAAATGTAACGAAAGGTATATTTTGCCTGATGACTCCAATGCTTCCAAATTAGTTATTTAAATTTTTCTACATTCACTAAAATTTATCCCGTTTTTATCTTCTATACTAACTGATTCGTGACAAAATTTGATGTAAATGATCTAATTCAAACAGTAAATGATTTTTAATTTTTTCAGAGCAGTTGCACTCAAAAAGGTAATAATTCTTCAGTTTGTCACCTAATAGGCCACGAATAGCTTTTTTTACGAAAAAAGTAACGAAAATGTGTTTTATAAAGGTATAATAGATTCCAACTAATTAAGTAGCATTTACTTACTGACTGTGGGACCTACGCCTATCGTTAACAAGGAACAGGCGCTCAAACTAGTTGGACTATCAGTTGCCGATACAGTAGTTGAAGTTGTGGATGAAGTTCCGTTACCACATGTTGCATTTGGAGTTCTCCTCTGATTTCGAAGTTTTTCTTCACGGCGCCATTTAGCGCGTCGGTTTGAAAACCAAACTTGAATCCTTGCTTCGGGTAAACCAATCTTACCAGCCAATCTTTCTCTCGCAAAAACATCTGGGTAATGTGTACGTTCAAATTCTAAGAAAAATAAGATAAATTGAGTACAAAACATAATAACATACGAAACTAGCCAAACATATGTACACAAGGTGAACTTTTGTTAATGTTTCACAAAAGGCGGCTTTTTCAATGGACAAAGCAAGATACAAAATTTGAAAATAACAACAAAAATCGTCCATAGAAAAAATTTAAATTAAATTTTTAAATTTTAAATCATTTTAAATTAGTTTTTCAATGATAGGCGATCCCATTTTGCTCAAAAGTGTTCGACACAGTAATTTATAAGTACCCCATGCTCACAGACCCTTAAAAGCAGGGCTAAGCAAGAAGATCGTAAAGCAAAAGGGAGAGAGTATTGGAAAATACACGAGCTGCTGTACTGAACGCATCGTAGCGTGCGTTGAGCTTTATCATTTTTTTTTATGTTTGCCATAATCTAGCAATATTAAAAACAGGGACTGTAACGGTTATAATTAAAAAAGCAAAAAATTACAAAATAAAAGTTATTTCTTAATTTTTATGAAAAAAATTGATTTTTAATAATTAAAATTAATTTTAATAATAAAAAATTAGTAATAATTATTAAGTATCAATTTTTATATAAAAATTACGCAATAACTTTTATTTTGTAATTTTTATTATATAAATTGGAAAATAAAAATTATTCGATAACTTTTATTTTAAAAATTGAAAATAAAGATTGAATCTATATATCTTTTGATCCGTTGAAGCCAGATCCAATAATATGTATATATATGATCTACACATCAATACCTTTCAGATGGTATATAATAAGTATGTATATATGTTTATCCGCTTATGTGCCTGTGCAGTATTGGCAGTATTCATAAATAACTATTTATAATAACTATACTATAATAACTAACCCAACTATTGTTGCGGCGGCTGAGAAAGAGTAGTTCATTAAATTATTAATCAAGATTAATTTACAACAATTTATTAGTTTTTAATATATAAATGGCTAATTATTTAATTTCAAGAACATTAACTTTTGCACGGAGTCTTCGGCAAGGTTGCATCTAAGATCAGTAATTACTAATTTAAGGGCCGAAAATGCCCTTTCAACCGATACCTGCGTTGCAGGCACTGCATGTACTATTTGAGCCAGACGGTACAAGCGTGGATACGTGAATTTTTTCAACTCCCAATAGCTCATGATATTCACGCTTGGATCTATGGGCTTTGGTGAATATTCGTTTATAAATTGTTGTAATTTAATCTTGATTAATAATTTAATGAACTACTCTTTCTCAGCCGCCGCAACAATAGTTGGGTTAGTTATTATAGTATAGTTATTATAAATAGTTATTTATGAATACTGCCAATACTGGACAGGCACATAAGCGGATAAACATATATACATACTTATTATATACCATCTGAAAGGTATTGATGTGTTGATCATATATATACATATATATTGGATCTGGCTTCAACGGATCAAAAGATATATAGATTCAATCTTTATTTTCAATTTTTAAAATAAAAGTTATCGAATAATTTTTATTTTCCAATTTATATAATAAAAATTACAAAATAAAAGTTATTGCGTAATTTTTATATAAAAATTGATACTTAATAATTATTACTAATTTTTTATTATTAAAATTAATTTTAATTATTAAAAATAAATTTTTTTCATATAAAATTGAAAAAAAAAACAATTTATCTTGTTTTTGAATTTGCCATGAAAATTTAACTTATGAAAATTTTTTTCAATTTTTTTGGAGACTGTTTTGGGCTTCAATTTTTTTAAACTCATATTCATTATTTACGGTCCCTGATTAAAAACGCTTTAGTCTCGGTAAAGCTAAAGATTAATTTCTAATTTTTTTCATTATATATCTAACTTAAAAAACATGGAATGACGATGATATTATATTAGAAAAGGTATGGTAACTATACTTGTTATATTATATTTGTTTGGGAACTATCGCTTAGTAATTAAGTTTTGACTCATATTGCCATCTTTATATTTGAGACCTAAGATCCAAACAATGTGTATGCACTAGGAATAAGCAACACCTATAGCAACATTGCCAATTTTCTTTAGTACCAATTAAACAGCGAAACAATCAAGAACAATAAAATATACAGTCCACTACAAAAAGGCTCTACGCATTAAGGAGCATTGTTTGATCCTTCGAGCCGGATGTTTTTTGTTGTTTTCTGTGCATTGGTTCTCATGGTAATTGTTCTTCAATGAAGCAATTAAAAGCCTTTGTAAAGGGACGCGCCAGACTTAAGGCCAATATCACACGGAGCTTGGCTTGGCCTGAGGACGCGCACCAATCACACGCCACATCGGCGGAGGTGTCTTCGCGGCTGGAGCATCTCAACACAACATGAAAGGAACCATGTTTACTATATGTTTTTGGGGTCACTGAATCTAAATCCGAGGTCCTAAAAACCCTAGCACGTCAGGGTTCTGACATAACCTAAAAAACCTCATACAAAATTATATTCGAGTCCGGGGGTCAGACCATGTTTATTATATGTTTTTGAGATCGCTGAATCCGAATCAAAGGTCTAAAAAACTCTAGAATTTCAGGGTTACGTCATAACCTTAAAAAACCTCATACAAAATTGTATTTGAGTCCGGTTGAAAACATATTATAAACATCGTCTGACCCCCGGACTCGAATATCATTTTTTCTGAGGTTTTTCGAGAATATATCGTAACCCTGACATTCTGGAGTTTTTAAGACCTTGGATTCGAATTCAGCGACCCCGAAAACATTACGTAAACATAGTCTGACCTCCAGACCCGAAAAAATATTTTTTTTTGTGTGGCTGTGCTATTGTTCGAGCAGTTGGCGGCAGATGAAGCCACTGCAAACTTGCTAAGACCTACAAGAGGTGAGGTCAGTCCGGCGAGTTCAGGTACCGCACCGATGGTAGAGGCATCAGCTAAAAGCGAATTGCCAAAAATTCAAATCAAACAGTTTGGTGGCAACTATTCGGAGTGAGTAGCTTTCAAAGACAATTACGAGAGCACAATTCACAACAAGGCGAATTTGACAAATACACACATATTTCATCATCTGAAATCTCTTCTTAACGACGAAGCTGCAAACTTGGTGCGACATCTAACTATTATGGATACAGCTAACAACACAGTGTGGGAGCGACTTAATGAAAGATATAATCGTCCACAGCACATCATGATTTCATTTATGGAGCAGTTTATGAAGCTCCCAACAACAACCAGGTCTGATACAACAACCTTGCGGAAGGTGTTGGACGGCGCAAACGAAATCGTGCGTGGTCTGGATGCCATTGAGGAAACACGACGATAGCGTTTGATCATCTACCTGGCGTTGGAAAAACTGGACGCAGATACTCGACGCAGGTGGATCGAACGCTGTGGGAAGTCAGACTTACCCACACTAGAGGAATTCCTAAAATTTTTGGATGCACGTTGCGAGGAGCTGGAGCTTAGCAAACCCGAATTAACTGGAGGTAAAACGGCAGCCTCTATTGGTGACGAAACAAAGAAGGTCACACATTCGTTGGTTGTGCTTGAAGGAAACAAGTGCAGTAAATGTCATTCTACAGAACATCGTCTGTATGGATGTCCACAATTTTTGGGGATGTCTGCAGGACAGAGAATCTTGTTTGCCAAGGAGAAATCTCTATGCCACAACTGTACGAAACCTGGTAATGTGGTCAGAAAATACAGAACAGAAGGCTCCTCAGCCTCAGGCTCCTCATTTGATGTGCAAAAGACACTGCAAGTTCAATACAATCACATGGATGGCACCCTAACCGAAGCACCCTACCTACGGCTATGGTCAACGTTCAAAACGCTAACGGGGATTTGGTAGCATGCCGACTTCTTTTGGACACAAGCTCAGAACTGTCATATGTATCTGAACGCTGTATTCACGCACTCGGTTTGGCTCGCACGCCATCCCTCATATTGGTCACGGGAATTTCATCAGATAAAGCAGACACAACAAAGAGATGCAGCATCCTACGCATCCAATCCCGTATTTCAGAAGATAAACTGGTAGTCCAGGCTCATGTGCTTGGAAGAATCACTTCATCATTTAAAAGGCAGAGCATAGACGCGTCTGCACTACAAGTCTTTAACGATCTACAACTTTCAAATTCACAAATCAGCAAAAGTGGCCCAATCGATATTTTTTTGGGCAGCGAGCATGTTTGGTGCTCCCAGTGCTATTACTGGGAGAAAAATATTTGACAACAACGGCAAACTAATCGCTATTTTATCAATTTTTGGATGGGTGATCACATCACGGTTTTCACCACGGGCGAGAAACACTATGGCCCTCACATCTACAATCGACATTGTCGCTACACTCAGACGATTCTGGAAACTCAAAGGAATTCATTGCAAGACAGAAGTTCAACCTGAGGACAAAGAGGTCGAGAAAAACTTTCTCAACACACACACTCGAGACGATAATGGCAAATACAGTGTGGAGATTCTTTTTCCGGATGATCCGGAATTCGCAGACACACTTCAAGGAGCTCTGCAGCGGTTCAAATCGGTTGAACGCCGTTTATCACAAAATCAACAGCTACGTAAGGATTACGTAAACTCTAGGTAAATTAGTAAACTCACACACGTGAGGAAATCTAGGACACACGCGAGAGATCTCATTGAGCGAAATTCCCAACGGAAGGAGTTTCTAGCTACCACATCATCCTGTATTGCGTCAGAATACCGGCTCATACCGGGACGCAAAAGGCAAGGCGTTAAACGACACACTCTCGATCGGACCCAATATTCAGCGAGACCTGTGTGCTGTACGCCTGCGGTCCCGTACGTACAAATACGTATTTTCAGCGGACATAGTCAAAATGTTCCGTCAAGACTGGGTGAGCGAAAAACATAGAAACTTTTAAAGAATTGTATGGTGAGAGCATCCATCAGATCCCATCAAGCATTTACAACGTTGCACGGTGACGTATGGAACATCATGCGCATCCTTCCTAGCAGCCAAAATCTTGATGGAAGACTTCTATGT